TCTTTCTGTATATTTTCTGTATCGATTGTATTTTCAGCTGAGTAGGGGATTCATTTCCAATAATTTGAGCCATGTTAATGATCTGGGCTTTGCTTAGTAACTACAGGGAGCAGCCCATGGGAAGGTAACGCACCTCCTAAGTCTTGAATAGGAAGAATGGCTTCTGGAGGTGCTGCTCTCTCTTCGCCCAACGGTTATGAACAATACCAGTTCGGGCAAGATCATTGTAATACTCTGAGTTGGATGCTTACCCTCACCTAGTAACCTGTCTGTGGATAAAGAGAAATCCACAGGACAGGCTGGCATCAGATCTACAGACGAGCTTAATAAGTTCAGCTAGGTGGAAGTTCACGAGTTGTTAGAATTACGATTACTTGAGCTGTACTTCAGTAACACTAAGGTGTAAACTCAGGAGATCAAACAAGTCTGCTACACTCTAGAATACCGGAGGCAAGAATGCGTTGCATTTTTGTGTGTGGGTTTTTTTTGTTTTGTTTTGTTTTTAAATAAGAACTCCACATGCTTTTGTGAGCAATGCCTGCAAAAAGTTTTCATTTATAATTTAGACAGACAAGAAGTTCACAAATTGTCATGAACAAGGTCTGAATAAACACAGCGGACTCTTATGTGCAGAGCATAAAATGCATAGTTAGACAAGACTGATGGCAGGGTTTGTTCTCTGTCCCTCTTAGCACTTTGTTAGAAAGATTAATGCCAGTCTGGACAACTGATAGAATTTGAGACGTTCTATACAGACAGCTCAATACCTCCATCAACAATTCATTCTTTTCAACCCCAGGCCCATGTACAGAGAAAGAGACCTAGATGGAGAGAAAGCCCTTTTAAAAGAGCAACACATCCAAATGGATTTCCCATCACAAAAGACAATTCATGAGGGGCACAGAGTTTTGATGTTTTGTTGGTGTTGTTCTTTTTGAATAAAAACAGCAAAAAAGAAAAAGTCACCTGAAATTTGTTCATCAAAATGCAATACACAGAACTCGGTAACAAAGCTGCATATTTACACCATGGATTAATCCTGTCTGATAGCGTCACATGCACAGTTAACCGTGAATATGATTAAGGATCAGTAATAATAATCATTTAGATCATCAGGTCACTTGATCCAAGCTAATCCTTCCTGTTAAAATGGTGAAGAAAAAAAAAAAAAGGATCTCTCTGTGAAGTTGGTAATACAGTAAGTGGAGGACCAGAAGACATTAGACAAGCATCCATTGCAAACTTGTATGTTTTTGGGCTGTATTACGCCCCAGAGGTCCGCTATGGGTCAGGAGATATTTCACTGCTCACAAGGGGCCAGGGAAGTCCCAAGGACTGAACCACACAGAAGGGGAAAGAAAGAAATGTCTTCAGTGCAATTCCCACGAGATGTTTATATTCAGGCCACCGCGTCAAGAAAACTTTCCGACAGCCATCAATTTGAACCCACTTGCAGAAGCCCGCAGAGAAATATGGGCCAGCAATAGGATTCCCTCTGGCAAGTTTTCTTCCCTTTCTCGGTCTGCCAGGTTAGATTTGTGGGTGAGGCTTTAGAGAAGTTTTGCACAACACAGTGGTGATCAGCACCAGATGTGTGGACAGATCAGTAAAGATCAGTTTGCATGGGGTTTTTTGTTTGTTTGTTTTTAAAAGGCTTTCAATATTGTACCTTCTTATGAGAAAAAAAAAAGCAAGCAAACAAAAATATCTTCCTTTACATCCATTAAAAAGGACAAATTCATTACAAGTAACAAAAGATTGTTAAAACACTTGGCTTAGACCATTTTTCCTCATTACAAAATTATTAACTCTTTCAAATTAAAGATTCTTGTTTCCTCCTGAACTGACAGGATCCTCTTAAACAAAGTTATCTGCTTTCACACCTTGGCAGGACCCAGGCCTTTTCAAGCAAATATTGCTTTATTTTAAGTTTCTAACAGAGCAAAAGCAGAGTCACTGCAGAAAGAAGCAATGAAACAAAGGAAGACGACGTTGATGGACTTCCCAAGGTCGCTGCAGGTGCCAGACAATGGTTCCCAGGAGGGGAAAATATGGTTGTTTAAAAAGCAAATTTGGTGCATGTGGCAAGCGTGGATGTGTCCCGTGAGATCCAAGGTGACATGTATGACGACAGACATAGGAAAGGAATAAGGGGGAGAGGGGGGAGGGAAGAAAGGATGAGGAAGAAAGAAAGAAAGAAAGAAAGAAAGAGAGAAAGAGAAAAATAGATAAAAAAAAATTAGGTCATAAATATAGAAAACATAAGAATCAAAGGTTTATTTAATTTAGTAAATTAAAATGGCTAAAGGTTAGAGGATAGCATTAGCACATTCACACCGACAAAAGGGTCAGGTTCAGAAGCTCAGCAATGTCCAAAGCCGCAGAGCAGCGTTCGGGTCAGGGTTTATGGGGTTAGCAAGCAAATGAGATTAAAAATGATGGAACAGAAGGCTCAGTGATCAACACAAGAAAATGGCTGGCTGGTATTTGAAAGGACAACACTGCCTTTTACAAATAAAGAAAACAAAAGCTTTTGTGGAGCAGACCATCCACCTGCCTGTCCACATTCTTCCCCCAAAGCCCACTGTACCAAGGATTTGGATAACAGATCCAGGTGAGCACAGCCTCAGAGGCAAGATGGACTCAAGAATACAGGGCTGACTTCCATTCAGCCTTCTAGGTGCCTGCAAACTCCTGTAATGCAATTACTATTCCTTTCAGCAATACTCTTATCCTTCCAGCCACTTTAGGAACACTGTGAAAATTCTACAGATGATGGTCCTACAAAGGACTCAACTCAATAAACATACATTTAGTCTGCATGAAATATCCGCCTCTTACTGTCAAGCACAGCAATGCTATTTTAAAGGTCTTGGCCCTGGATTTGCTTATCTAGCTCTTTTGGAAATCAAAACACAAGCTAAACTCTATGAAAATAAGAGATGCTAAAGCACAGTAGTAGGCAGAGCTTCTTCCCTACTGCAACTGGGCACAGCTGCCTTCATTTGCAGGGAGACCATGTCAGAAAAAAACACCCTGCCCTCCCCAAGTATTGTGCCAAACATGACTAGTTTGGAGAACAGCTCAGGGAACCAAAGGGTCTGGAAATACCTTGAAAGGCCTAATGTAAGCCAAAGTTCTGTACAGAATGAAGACAAAAAAGCTAGAGAAACCCAGTCAGCAATCCAGCACAGGCAGCAGTACCCATATCACTGCACAGTGCTCTACTTGATCCTGAGCCGAGGCACATTCTTCCTACATATCAACTGCGTCCACCTGCAGGGTCAACCCTGCAGCAAGAGGCAGTCTGAGAACAACTGCTTGTCAACGTGCTTCCAACATTTCCAAGTGCAACACTGGAAACAGCAAATTCAAATCCTGATTCCTCCTGTGCTTCACATCGTAATTCCAGAGAGGCCAAAGAAATTACACCCATGAAAACAAAATGGATACTAAAAAAAATCCCATCCTTTTAAGGAGTCCTTGCCCATGTTTCTGCTGCATTTAAAGGGCTCAGTGACAACTGTGCTCATTGTTCCTTACATTGCACAGACTACTGCACGAACTGTATATTGCAAAGGAAACAGAGTTCTCCCAGATTGCTATTACACCTGCGCAAATCATCCCAGCTGTCCCAGGTACCTCTTGGCATCCCACTGGAGCATGTAACAAAGTCTAAGGGAAAATACCAGCACCAGAAAGCATCACTGGCTGCACCCAAGGAGTGTGGAAGAACAAAAATGTTTATCAGTGCTTGTAACTTTTCCCTGAGGAGATAACACAAGAGCGTAAAGGAACCATCTATTCGCTGTTCCAGCCTACTGCACGTGACTGTTCTGGTCTGAAAAACCACTGAAGCACACTTTGCCAAATATTCCCCACCTTCCCCTGCCACATTAGTCACAGTTGTCCTTCAAATATGTGAGTAGTAAGTAGTAGTGCTGCTGAAAATGAGAATCAGAGGGTAAGTTGCTTAATGAGTTACTGAGTGTTCTTCCAACACACGTCTCAGTCCCTTTTGCCCCGTTTCCCTCTCTCTCCCTACCCTTATCTTCCCTGCCACAAACATTTTCGAGCCCCAACCACCCAGGTCACTCCTTTTTATGTCCAACAACACTATCTGACTTAATCCAGTGGAGTTTCGGCATGCAACTGCATGAGCTCTCAGCTGTTTACTTCTGACAGGACAGGAATAAGGGCAGATTTAGGACTAAAGTCTCAGTGCAAGGTGAACACTGATGAAAACTTTTTGATTGTTCTAAGAAAAACGCGAGACTGAGTTAAGACTCTAGAGGACAGAATGAAATCAAATCACTCCCTTCAGCACAGACTGTCAGCACCAATCCTGGCACGAATGTGCTTAAATTGGGCTGTGCAGGCAGGTGACTGATGCATCAGCTTCAGTCCAGCTGAAGTTCGTCCATCTGCCTTAAAGCAATCAGAACGTCAATTCACAGGTGGTCCAGTAATTTCATCCTTGAAGGTGTTTTTTTTTGTTTTGTTTTGTATTTTTAAATTGTACATTACTACACCTGCGCAGAAATAAATAAAAGAAGGATGAACTGGATGCACAAACGGGCAGTAAGCAAGCACAAAGCAGGTTTGGAAGGGAAATCTGTATTGTGAAAAGCATTGCGTCAGAGAGCTCTTCTGCTTCAGCTTAAGCTGGGGATCCTGTTTTCAGAAAGCATTTTCTGTCCACTGCTTTTCTCATCTGGTAATCCCGTTACCCTGATACAAAAAGCCAGCGTCCCCTGTGAACAGTTGGACAGGGTGGTTGTGCAGCAGTCCTGCCCGTGTACTGCTAGGGCTGTACATACTGTAACAGGGACTACAGTACAGGTATGTACGCGGCAAAAACTAAGCTTTGGATGGGTAACCAATTATGATAATGGCTTTAAGCAAGCAAGTTGTCAGGGTTACTCAGGCACATTAAAAGATGCAGCACTGTTGCATTAATTGGAAGCAGAAAACAATGGTAAAGCTTATGACCGCCGTACCTGGGATGACAGTGGGCTGAGCAGACGTTCGGAAGGCGTAGTGAGCTGGTTTGGACTTCCCTTGCTGGTTTTCAGCTATCACAGAAACCTCGTACTCTGCATTCCAGTCCAGAGACTTCAGCATGACGTGGTCGCTGCCAGAAGGAAGTCTGATCTCTGGTTTCCATTCTGAGGAGTGCTTCTGCAGAACAGCAACAAGGCAGGCAGAGATGCAAAACATACAGCACAATGTTAGTAGCCAGCTTTGTGAACAAGGTAACAGCTAACAAACAAATGGAAAACTGGGGAGGCTTCTACAGAAGGCACATGCTTCTCAGGTAATTCAGAGGTGCAAAATGACATTTGCTGATGGCTCCAAGTGGACAGGACAAGAGATACTGAAGCAGTCTCTTTCCTGCTCAGAAACCTGCTTTCTGCAGTATCACCATGGCTGAATCTGTCAGTTCTCCCTCTCGTCTTTGTCACATCGTACAACTACTTCCATTTCAGAGGAGAAAAGCTGCAACTTCTGTACACCTCTGCTCTGCAAAGCGCTTCTGTATTGGACTACCTGCAAGATCTTAGCTTCAGGGTTGTCTGCCAAGGTATCTGCTTGCATTGTAAAGCCTGAGCACTGAACAGGCTACAGACAAATCAGGCTTGAGTGGCAGTCATACTTACGGCTTTATATTTGATCAGGTAATGTCTAATCGGGGAGCCACCATCATCCTGCTTGATAACATTCACTTTAATGGAGTTTCCGTCTTCTCCCATCTGACCTTCCAGTTTGGGTGCACTGGGTTCCCCTGAAACAATGGTGGATTTACATTTGTGAAAAATTCATTAGGAAAAGAGCACTCAAAAATCAGAAAAACACTTCACTACACTAAGCTGCCAGGGTGTTGGCCTTACCCTGGCTCAGCCACACAGGACGCTGCTTGTCTAGAGACACAAATATTCACACTCAAGTACTTCTTGAATTTGGTAGTTTGTTTCCACTGATGCACTTTACCATTTCTGTGTGTGCCTAAATCAAGTCAGAGGCTAAGTGAAAAGGCAAGGATACCCTGGAACAAACCCCAGTTTTTCACTTTTTCTGTTCAAAAACACTTGTGTGAAACAACCTGGAAAAATCAAGTTAGAGAATGTGGCAAACAGGCAGCATGGAAAAAGGGAGCACCGTAGCTGTCATACAGACCTGTGTTTGTACTTAGAATACTGTTGAGGTTTTACAGTCCCTGGACCAGAGACTCACTGTTTGTGGCCGCTTAAGTGGGTGTGAAAAAGTGGTACTGCATTGCAACAGTTTCTGTTTTCAGTCTGTTTGCACTGGTGCATCTAATTGCAATAATGAACACAGGCTGGAGAGAACTAGAATCCTTTCGCTCTTCTTCTGTATGTTTTTAAAAAGAAAAAAGCCATCGCTTCCCAATTTGTATCCCTGACGTCAGCAGAAAAAAGTGAAATTTCATTCTCCTCTTCAGGGCACGGTGATTTACAACACCCTTTCACACCCATGTCTCTAACAAGTGCTCTTTCCTAGCCAGTTTCTCCCTAACTTTCACAAGCAACCTGCAGAGGATGGTTTCTCTCTCCCGCAAGCAATCATCCTGTATCACCTCTAACAAAAGTAAAATCCACAGGTTGATTGTATATTCACAACATCCCACTTCAGAAATACCGCAGCAGACTGATAAAGAGGCATTCTTCCTCCTTCCATTTTCTTACTACCCCAGGGACCAATTGTTTCTCAAGTGCTCTGATAGCCCGTGAACTCACTGTGCCAGAGACATTACTACCTGCTTATTTGTTTTTATGGAAAAAGAAACCAAGCAACCAAACAACCCAACAACATAAGCATCAAATTAGCAAAAGTACTTAATTGATAAAGGAGCCTAAGAGCCTTGGTCTCCTTTTAAAAATGACAGGGACCACCGGAGAGCTCAGCTCCTGCTAACTTTGTCATTGCCTGGATGCTGGCTTTGCTCCATTTTATGCAAGATAGAGTCAAAGGCTCCTCTACACCAGTGCTCATCTGAGAATGGACTTGGAGCTATTATTTCTACAGCTCTGAAATGTCCCAGGAGCTTAAACGCTACTGCAAGTCCGTAAGATTTGAGAAAAATTATCATAAATCTTGCTGAAGCTTGCCAGGTTGTTTTATAGTACTTACTGCCTTCTTTACTATCGGCTCTGTGCTGTAGTCTCAGTGTTTCACTCATGAATTCTGGGCTTAAAAGCTGTTTAGGAACTTCTGACCATTTCAGCTGTTATTCCCTAAAGGCTAATCTACCCAATTTCTTTATGGGTAATTTGAGCAAAAGCAACACTGCAATTATTTGCAAATTAAAGCTTACAAATCAGCTGCAGTTGGCACTTCCAACAAACTCCTGAAATTAATTGTGCTACATTGGCTGGTCTCATTACAGGCTCCTAATTCTTACCAGTATTTTATACATCTGTTAAAGTGGCTGGGCGCTAAAGAGCAAAAAACCTCCTACACCTCCATTCAGCCACAGTCCGTACAGATCTGCTAATGCTGAGCACAGACTGCACCATTCTAGCTTCAAGTGGCTACGGTTCTGCTAAAGCACTCTTGTTTTACTCGTAGTGCTGGTTGGGATTTGGACAAGAGGCTTTCTTAAAGACACGCTGACATGTGCCCCAAAGTGTGGGGAAATGCACAACTAAAACACGCCCAATTCTGAATGTATCCCCCAAGAAGAACAAGACCAAATACTCTGTAACATTTGCGACTTAGGAGCCTGAACGAATGAGAACAAAATCAGGACTCTGAAATAACATTTGTGACCTTCGAGTTCAGCCCATTGCCTGAAACAAAACTTTGAAAATTTAGTTCTGCTGTATTATACTAAAAGTGGAAATAAATAGTAAGTCAGCAGTTGTATTAGCTTTGGCAGGCAACACCAGCTACGCAAACTTACAGGAGCTTCTATATTTCAGCCCAAAAAACATTCTAAACTCTAAATCTCTTCTGTCTGGATTTGTATTCAGCACTTAATGGAAAGCACATGCAGTTTTGACTGGCAAGAGCAAGGCTAATGTTCCAATAACTTTCAAAGTTCATCTTCAGAAGTAATTTGAAGCCTTCCACCTCCAAAGCAAGAAATCAAGGGGATTTTTTTTTTTTTTGGTGAGACATCAATGAAAAAACCCTAAGACCTAGACTGAAACAGTAATTTTATATTAATTCCATTTCCTTGCAGGATAACACACCAACTGTTCCAAGAAGGTAATTACAATCCGTAGTTCTTTCATGCAAAATGCATACATTTGTGTTTCACAAAGTCGTAGCTTTTCTTCAAGATGTAAAGATGGAATGCTCCTGTTTTCCATGCTATATTTCTCTTTTCAAAATCCTCGCTTCTGCCTACATCCCCATGACAAGGCTTCCACAGCAGGAGGAGGGGACACAAAAGCTCCGCGCCCCAACATGTAGCAGGTCTCTCTGTGACTGTACGTTGAAAGCACAAACGCAGTGCTCTCAAGGTAAGCGTGGAGCTGCCGCTGCATGGACCTCTAGTGCAGTTTGAAGCAGACCAAGTTCTCTTCCTGTGTGCCCTATTTATCTTACGGGAGGTGCTACGTGCTCCTCTGGAGCTGTCTGGGTTCACACAGTACAGGGCCAACTCAGTCACGTCCTCAGGAAGGACACGAGAATTTCGTGATTAACGGATGAGCACATTTGCCATCTACTGTACAGACAAAGGGATGGATTTTTGTCTCTGCTGCCAGCTTACTGAAGCTGTATATTTGAGAATCCCTTCCCAGCCCATGTTTTTCCTGGAGTTATGAATGCTGAAATCAGGGAATGCGTAACAGTGAAAGTTAAATGTGAATAGGTGAGTTCTCGGTGAGCAGAGGTACCTCACCCAGGCGTACTGCAAATACCAGGTTAACCAAACTGTTATCTTTCCCCAATCCTGAAAGAAAACATCACTGCAAAGGTTTTGATTTTGAATACTGAGTTGAAGAAGCTATTCCTGAAATAACTGTCAAGCCTACTAGCCAACAGTTACATGGAAGCAGGAACAAATGTTCTATGTTTTTTTCCCCACACAAGCAAACTAACTCCCAGTACCAACTGGGCTGTTCATGGCCACATGCTCTGCTAGATGCTGAGACACCTCACACAGCTGAAACATTCGTGAGCAGCCATGCTTGCCTTGTTTGTAACAGACTTGATGAATGGCTTCACCGATAAATAGACAGTGCAAGATCAACATCTCCTTGGTACTCTTTCCCATCCTCATCTCAGAAATAGAATTATTACCAGGCGAACAGATGCTTAAGTGATAAGGGAATACTGTAAATAAAGAATCAGACCTCTTATCTAATATAGCCTAGATTTTTTTTCCCGTGATTGAGTACCAAGACTAAAATGTGAATGACCATCCCTTGTAAAGATGCTCATTTCTGATACGAAGATTTAAAAAGCTAGATTTGCAGCTGTACTTTATACGCAGCCATTCCAATGACTAATTACCCTCCCTGCTGAAACCTTTCTTCATTTTAAATTGCCTAGTTTCCACATCCCAGTTCTTTCTTTTCCCAGTTGTTTAGATATGTTCCTGCTCCAAGAAACATTCCCTTCTGATAAGAGAACACGGACCAGTCCTAGGGCTGAAACCCAACAGTTGTAGAGGTGCAACACCTCATGAAGAATATTTGGCATTTCTTTCCCCACGAATACATAGAATTTAATTGATCTTAATCAGGCAGATACAATCCAGATACAGAGCTGAAAAATTAAAAATGGGTTAGTGTGTAGTTCCAAACAAAGGAGGAAGAGGTTTAGTGGGAGAAGTTTAGTCCAGCAGAATCAGCATCTCTATAATAAGTCAGTGTCAGTAGCTGAAGAGAAAAGGTTGTCGTAAGAAGGTTAGAGAAAAAAACTCATGCACATGGAACATGCATCCTCCCTATGGGAAGAGGGGCTGCAAAACAAAAGTGCATCATGAGGGTGTGCTACATGCCTGGGGTCTCCCATTTACACTGGGCCTACTGGACACACTGCAGAAAACAGCCTGTTCCAGCTGCACTTGGTGGGATCCTTACAGAATCCTCCTTGTTATGACACTGCTTAGCTTACTGAGAGCACGGCTCCAAACATGCCACACTTGCTCCACTTTGAATTTGCTCTGCTGCAGAGCAAGGGATGCAGGATCTCATGCTTTCACTGTGTGGGGTGCTGATGCTGAGCAGTTACGTCTGAGCCACAGAGCACCCTGCTCGCCTCTGTGACTGCACTGCCCCACGCTCAGCCCCACAGTCAGGGCACCAAATCGTACAAGCAGAGCCCACTGGAGGGCAGGATAAGGCAAGTAACTAAAATCTTCCCATACTTTGCTTGGGAAGTGGCGTGGTTTTGTTCAGAGATGTAAAGATTACAGGTTTCAGCAACCCTGTAGACTTTGGTAGAGCTTGACAACTTCCACTGATTCAACTTCACCCACAGAACATTTTTCAGAAAAGAGTAAACCAAACCGTGTTTTACAGTCTGCTTCTCTCCCAGTTGAAACTGTATTTGAGCAAACCCTCTATGAAGCTGAATTCAAGACAGCTCAGCTTTTAATGCAGGGAGTAGAGAGCCATGGAAGTGCAGTACAAACTATTCCCCGGTCACAGGGCACTAAATTTGTGCTGGACCCCAGAAGTGGCAGTGGTGCAAAGACAGACTGTCACCTCTCTTCTCCCACCACATTTTCCTTTTGCCCATTCACTGAAAAGTGGGTCAAATGTAGCACTAGACAAATGCACCACTGAGTCTATGAGCCTAAATCCT